GTAGGGATTGAACATGGACAAAAAGCTTTGTGAATCTTTCTGTATTTAATAATTTGCCATGTAAACTCCAAGTAGTATATTTAATATACATATAGTTTCTTTAGTGTGCTTCTAGTGTAGTTTACAGGATGGAAACTAGGGGAACAGTAGCACAGATGAACAGCCAACTACCAGGTAGAGCACCAGCAGGCATCGTATGGACCGGAGAATGACTGATCTAACTCATTCATTCTGTCACTCCTTTGGCTGATGTTTCTTGAAGCATTGGCAGCTTTTGTGCAGCTTAACGTTAGTTTCCATAAAATATCAGTACTTCTTCAAGACTTAAAAGAGAAGGAATATGTGGAAAACACTTTACAACTATGAAGCATTTCACATCATTAACGAGGAGCTGCAGAGGAACTGTAAATTAATTTTTGTAACCTCCTGTAAAATTGTATGGACATTTTCTTCTTAATAGAAAAAAAGCATTAATATTTGTCATGCTTTTATATGACTATTCAGTTCTTGTTCTTTTTTGTTAATAAGGAGCAATTGAAAGGCCAGAAAAAACTAAATACAAGGCCAAAATAATGGGAAAGGGAAGGGGAAGGATGCTAATTCTGAATGAAAAGTTCAAAGGTGTGACTTTTAGGAGGTATGAGTTACCTAGATGTGGCATATGCTCATTTTCAGCACCTGGCTGTGAGTCCTCACGGGTGCCCATGTTTTGCAGCCAACCTAGCAATAATTTTGGATGTTCTGAGCTTAAGCAAGCAGGAATAATGTGACATTCTGCCTTTACTAAAGGCTTTATTCAGAGCATACCTAAAGCTTAACATGACAGTTCATAATAAAGACAGAAAAGGCAATTGGACTTTCTTTTCCTCATTGCTGTGGAGAAGTAGCTTTGATAATACACATGCTGTAGCAATACCAGCCTCTTCCTCAATTGCCAGTTACAGCAACAGAGCTGCTAGGATGAGGAGAAGCAAAGGAAGAGGCTGGCTTAGTTATAAAGTATTTGTATTCTTTGGGAGTCTTACATGTGTTTTTTGTCTCTGCTAAGTAGGCCAAGCAAAGTGCAGTGTCCCCTGAGCTTTCTGAATGCCTGCTGTAGTAGTGATGTGCCAAAAAGGCCAGGTTATGGATGGATGCAGCCCTGGAGAGTCTAAATTTAGTCTGCAGCTCCTCTGATAATTTAGTTTTGACAACTCAAGATAGAAAAATATCTCTGAGCATCTCAAAGCAATGTAATTCTCTTTGGTTTAGGTGATTGTCATTTTGTCAGTTTTTGGTCTCCACATTTGACTTCCTGTGACGTTGTTAATCTGAATATGAAATTTATAATCCATGGTTTTGATTGAAGTTTTTGGTCTCCATGTTTGACTTCCTGTGATGTTGTTAACCTGAATATGAAATTTATAATCCATGGTTTTGATTGAAGTTTTTGGTCTCCATGTTTGACTTCCTGTGATGTTGTTAACCTGAATATGAAATTTATAATCCATGGTTTTAATTGAAGGCATGGTGCATTGCCTTTAGATGGACATTAGACTTGAGCACATTTAATTTGATATATGAATGAAAAATAATAGAGAACAACTGAGTGGATTTAATGTAGTAGGATGCCATGTGCAACACCCATAGGCTCGGGGAACAGGAGTTTCAAATGAGTTATGGCACTAGTTGTTTCTTAGGAGTCATGCTATTTTTGTAATGAATACACAGTGGCTTCTTAAAAAGAATTCTTACTGAACAGCTTATAGCAGAATTTTCTTTACTAAGGCTGTTTTTCATCTATAGGGAATACCAAGTGAATGTGTTACAGGGCTTTTCATGAGTGTTTGGCTGATTCATGAGAGTGTATTCAAAATAAGAGTCAGGCAGAAGACTATAGATGGTTGCATACGAATTAAAAAGAAACAACACAAAGTATACAAGCTATATAAATTACGAGCAAGGAAGCTAGAAATGATAAATGTAGGAATGGAAAGGAAAATGCAGCCTGAAGTGAGGTTTAATTTTCTGACTTAGCTATACTTGTGTGATCCTTTGAGGTTAAGGAGTTCTAGAATCTTCCCCTCTCCCTCCTGCATTTAAAAATTCTCAGTAGAATTAAAAACTTGCAAATTGTCTGGCCCTTAGTGCATACAGACCTTCTGTCTTTCAGGATTTGTATGCAAGGATCAAGGATTAAATGTGAGGTGGGGTTTTTTTTCCTTGCTTTTAATAAATGACCATATTGTAAAGAGAGCATGTGGTTTGGCATTTTCAAATTTCAGACTGTGATGCTTTCTCTGCAGATGCTCTGGGTGTTGCCACAGGGAATCTTTCATGTGGTGACTGCTGTAGTTAGTACCATATCCCATTGGTGTTCCTCTTGTGGAAATATATAGTCCCTTTATATATACATTTTGTTGGTACTGCACCCCCTGATCGCAGAGGAAGGCAGGCAGTGTGATGATAGGGCAGATGTCTTTGTTTGACTTTGTGTTGCCTCTCTAGCTCGGGATTTGGGGGGGAGCTCCATCGCAGCCTCTGTGGGCTGTTGCCCCTTGCAACCGGTGCTGTGCAAGGGAGGAGGGTTGTTCCTTGCTTGTGGAGGGTGTCTGAGGTGTCCTGCTTCCAGGGACTCTGGCCTGGCAGCGGCTGTTTGCAGGGTGGCTGTTGTGCCTCCGTCACCGCCCCACCTCAGCAGCCTGGGTAGCAGGAGAAGTGGGGTGCCAGGCACAGCGCTGGGTGAGAG